TTCATATCTATCCAAATTAAAAGGATAAAAGCAAAACGGTTGAATGAATGGCTGAATGAAGAAGATGACACGACACATCTGGTGAAATATAATCAACCAAATGCGCTTTTATCTATTTTTTCGCTTTTTTACATTTTAACAATGAAATGGATTATGATTGATTGACAGATGAAGGAAGTAAAGATGAAAGATAAATGGATCATATGTTTATGAATGATAAGATTATTAAAATTTTGATATTGATATACTTTTAAATAGGATTATTATTATTATTGATTGATAATACTATATATAAGATAGCAAATGGTTCTAAGAAATGATAATTCTATTGATAAGATATCGAATGGTTTTAATAAATGGGATTGTTTATTATTATTATTGTTATTATTTATTATTAATATTATCATTATTTTTATTACTATTATTATTATTATTATTATTATTACTATTATTATTATTATTGATAATACTATATATATGATAGCAAATGGTTCTAATAAATGATAATTCTATTGATAATACTATATATAAGATAGCAAATGGTTCTAATAAATGATAATTTTTACTTATTATCATTATAGATAATTCTTATTTATTATCATTGTAGAATTATGAATCGTTAAAAAGAACTTCTTTTTTTGATCAAATTATATTTCAATTTGAAAATTAAAGAAACCAATATTTTGCCCTAAAAATAAAGTAGAAATTAAAATAGATATAATAATTATGCATAATAAATTTAATTCAAATTTCTGATTGATTCATTTCTTCATTTTTTATTTAGGATAATTTTATCCTAAAAATAAAGGAGAAACTAAAATGGACAAAAAGTTTTGAATAGGTATATTTGAAAGTATATCGATCGATTGATCAGAGATTGGGTTTATTTATTTATCTATTTATTTTTCTGAATAAATTTGAATTGAATTTATTATGCCCTATTCTATACATTATTAGTAATTTTCCCTCCCAAATTATTTTATAAATTGATTACAACGAGGTCATAGGTCATAGGTTTTTTTTTTGCTGCTATAGAGGAGAGAGATTAAGAACTCAGAACATTTTTAACCTTTTTATGTTTGTTTGTTTATTTGTTTTTCCTCTTTTCAACTCCTTTTTTTTCTCACATAATTCAATTCAATTCAATCCGTTTTATTCTATTTCCAATTAATTCAATTCAAATTTGAAATTAATTTCTTTAAATTCATTTTAAGAATTGCAAAAATAAGAGCGTTTGAATAATGTACTTCTGCTATTGACATTGAAATATTGAAAAAATTAAATTAGCATAGTCTCTCTACCTTTCTCTCTCTCTCTCTCTCTCTCTCTCCTCTCTTTGGTATTTATAAAATAATAACATTTCATCTAACTTTTAAGATTTAAATGATTGATATCTTAGCTGTAGAAAGTTTCACTTTCTCCATTAATTTAATAAATTTCAAAAACAAAAACCAAATCCGTTGAAAAACAAAAACAAAAAATAAAATAGACGAGCTGCCACCAAACATATAAGAAAGATTCAAAGGCAAAAAGGAAAAGCGTATAAGAGAAACTAACAAAGTAAACAAAAGGAACAAACAAAAAGTAAACAAAAGGCATAAACAAAAAGTAAACAAAAATTTCAAAAATATAAAGTAAATAGAAAAAAATCACTCAACCCAAAATAAACAATCCCATTTGTCAGGAAAAAAATACCAATAAAATTTTTAAAAAAATTTTAAAAAGATCATATCAAACAAATAACGAAGAAAAGGAAACCAAAAATTCCATTTATTGTAAACAAAAAAAAAAATTCAAAATAAACTAAAAAGCTAATGAAGACTAGATTTGTAAACAAGCAATAAGCTAGCCTGAAAAATATGCTAAATCTTTTAGATAAACTGAAATTAATCAAAATTATCCTAAATATTAAATTTCAATTAATTCATTTAAAATATGCATGCTTAAGATCTAAAAATCCAATTAAAAAATAATTAATAAATCCATTTTGTTTGGAATATTATATTGTTCCAAATATTAAATTTTAACGATTTTAATTAATTCATTTTAAGTATGCATGCTGTAGAACTAAAGATCTAATTAAAAAATAATTAATAAATTCATTTTTTCTTTGAAATATTATATAATTTTTGAAATTTGCAAAAAAAGAAAGAAAAGAAAAGAAAAATTTTTCCTGCAAAATTTTATTTTAATTTTTATTATACAAAAATTAAATATAATTAATATAATTGTTGATTTCCCCTTAAAATTAGATAAATTGTCAAAATACGCTATTTCTTTCTTCATTAATGAATATAAATGACGCAACATATCGGATGCGATACATTTGAGGATACGTATATTTTGCTTTTGCTTGTAACTAACTAAATTGCAATAATAAATCATTCAGCGATATTAAAATAAATATGATAGAAATTGGGAATTTATATATTACGATGATACCATCTGTACTGATATTTCTCTATTTAATAATTTCATCCCAAAAAAAACAATAAACTTAATTTCATACAAATTCAATAAATCCTATCAATATTTTCTTTTTATAATCAATTAGATATTTTAAGATGCGTAGAAAATTTTTGAGAAGAATTTAAATTTTTCAACAAAATTTAAATGCGATATTTTTTGAAATTGAATTATGTCATAAATATAAAATTGAAAATGTGAAAATGATTTAGCTATGATTTAATTACATTAATTACAGGTATTCCTTCCGATCAAATTCATAATTTTGGCATTTTTTTTTTTAATATAATTGTTTAATTTTAGATATTTTGTGAAATCCAAAAAATTGTTATGTAAGAGAATTTTTCAACATTTCATTAATGTTTAATACCTTTTAATCAATTAGTTCTTTCTCATTAATTTGTTGACGATACTATTGGGACAATGTTAAATAATTAATTTCATTTGGATCTTTATAATACTTGGTTGTTAGAATAGGTTCAGATGGGCTATTTTCGAAAAATGATACGATACGATATAAACTCTAACCAGTCATCGTTAATTCTCCCCTCCCCTCCCCAATCTACCACCCCTTCTTCATTCTAAGAACTCATAAAACAAGGTTATGAAATGTCTCTATCATTTTGCTAATGTAATTGAAGGAATTTGTGGAATTCCAGTATTGGGGAAAAAAAATCGATGAATTTAAAATATTTCGATCAAATTTATTATCACAATGAAATCAATTAATGCTTCCAATCAAAATGTATAATGATGAAATAACGCATAATATTGAATAATGAGTAATAGATAATTGAAAGAATAAATTTAATTTTCTTTTCACACATCAATAAATGTTAACACTTTCATAAAAGCTACTAATTTGATAGCTCTATTTGAAATTTTAAAATTTGATAATTGTAGTATACTTATTCAAATCAAACAATACATGTAGAAAGAATAAGAGATGATAATGATGATACGCGTTGCTAAATAATAATCGACTACTTTCATGTTTAGTTAAAACCTGTTCATTCTCTACCATTTCACAATAATTATTTCTACATCGATCAAAGAATACGTCTAAATCAAATTTGCAAATGTGCTCCCATAAGATTGCAAATGAATTGAATAAAAATTTTCCGATAATTGCAAAATCTGATCCGTTATCCTTTCACATTTCTTATATATATATATATATATATCGTTACATTATCATTATATTTATTATCATTATATTTATAATATTAGCATATCGTTACATTATCATTATATTTATTATCATTATATTTATAATATTAGCATATCGTTACATTATCATTATATTTATTATCATTATATTTATAATATTAGCATATCGTTACATTATCATTATATATATACATATATATAAATTCCAGGTTTCTCAAGTTTTAGATTAACTATATAATCTAATTCTACTTAATAATGGCATTTAATTGCATTATACCGATTATTATTTATTATTTTTTATTATAATTTATTATTTTATTTAGTATTTTTATTTATTATTTATTAATATTTCTGTTTACTATTATTATTTACCACCACCAATTATTATTATTAATTATTATTAATCATTATTATTATTGTTAGCGCTATCATTACCAAATTTTTGATAATATTATCATATCGTTACATTATCATTATATTATCATTATTATTATTCCAATTACTATTATAATTATTTCATTCCCATAGTAATAATGCCTAAGGCAATAATTGCTATCATTTTTTTATTTTGAATTTATCCATAAAAATATAAACTAGCAATGCCTTAATTATTTAAGCAATCATTAGGCATTAGCTTGCAGAATATTTATTTGTTTGAAAAAAAAAATGAAATATATCCATATCATTATTACTTTTCATCACTTTATCAATGAGCATTTATCACTGCCCGATTACGATCATTAATCTTTGATAAAAATGAAATAATTTTAGGAGCTAAAAATATGTATGACACATATGGAAAGAGAAGAGCTGGCAACAAAAGGAAATAACAAATCAATCTGTAACGATGAGAACAAAGTTGAGAAAAAAAATTAGTTTCAACAAGAATGAGAATAAATCGATCGATGAATATTTTGGTAAAATTTTTTAAAAAAGAAGGAAATCACATAAAATGAGAAAATAAAACAAAAAGAAAAATTAGTAGCAAAAATTAAAATTTATTAAATTCATCAATTATATTTAATTAAGATTAATTTTTTGAACGAACTTTATAATGAGGATATTAATTGTTTTGTTGAGAATTGCTAATATATTAATTCAATTTAAATTAATTATATTCTTCGTGTTTAATTAAGATTAATTTTTCGAACGAATTTTACACTGAAGGTATTGTATTGTTGAAAATTGCTAATATATTATTTCAATTAAAATTAATTATATTCTCTGTATTTTATTAAGATTAATTTTCCGAACGAACTTTACACTGAAGGTATTGTATTGTTGAAAATTGCTAAATATCATATTATTACAAGAAGATATTGATTGTATTGTTGAAAATTGCTACTATATTATTTCAAATAAAATTAATTATATTCAACTAAATGTATTGTTATATTACCATTCAAACGTCTTCGAAGCTGCTCCATCTTGTTGCAATAACGTTGATCACGACATGGCAGATATTCTTCTATTATCCAATTTTGATTATTAATCCATAAACGATACAAATATTTCATTAGGCTAGTATCTGTCTGAAAATAAAATTCAAGATTTAAATCGGTTTTTTCGATGAAATTTAATTTATTTAAATTTTTGATCGTAAATTTTCAACAATGATGATTAGTCGTTTAAGTTTATTGAAGTTTAAAGTTTAAAATTTATTAAAGTTTAAAAAGTTTATTGAAGTTTAAAAAGATCATTGAAGTTTATTGAAGTTTAAAAAGTTCATTGAAATTTATTGAAATTTAAAATATACAAATAATGCCGAAAAATGAATATTGTATCGGAAAAAATCTTTTTTTCCCTTTCTCTCTCTTTTTTCACTTTGTATTTTTCATTGAAAGTTTTTCGATTGAAATCTATAATGCATCAGATAAAATTGGTAATTAATTTCATGTTTTTGTATATTTAAGTATCGCGCATTTAAGTATTGAGAATTTTGTTTTCGAATTGGTAATTAATGGTAATTAATTTCATGTCTTTGTTTATTTAAGTATGTAAGAATTGAGAAAATTTTTTTCGAATTAGTAATTAATAAGTAATTAATTTTAATTTATGTTTTTCCTTTCGTATATGCAAGCATCTATTCATTGAGAAATGAATTTTCAACATTTAGATAAATGATATATAGGATGACCTGCCTTAATGTGAGCATATATGGCAACAGAAAGTGATATAAAGAAGAGAAAGGCGGAAATTAAAGTGGATAAGCTCAATAAAGTTTCCCAATCGTTATTTCCTTTCACAAATGTTTCACTGAAAATTTTAATTTGCAAAATATTGTAATTAAATGCATTTTATATTTATAGGCCTGGAAAGGTTTTTCTTTAATCTATTCATTTTATTTCCTCAAAATAGATCGCACATATTATAGAGACAGGCCTATTTTAATTATCAATTTTAATTTGCTTATTTTTTTTCTTCTTCAACTTTTCCTAAAAGAAAATGAATTTCAACAGTTCATTTATCTATTTTAAACTATTTGATAGCTGGGAAAATTTAGAGAATGAATGATGAAAATTTCGAATTGTTGAAAAATTTCAACAGAGAGAGAAAAAGAAAAGAGGAAAAACGAACGAATTGCCTTCGATCATCGTATCATTATTTTTTTCCCATTTCCTTTCAATGCAAAAGCAAATCAATGATGTAATTGAGGAAAGGAACATTAACGCCACAGCTATGATAAATATTATCAGATAACGTAAATCATGTCTTGAAATCGATGGTAAACGTAAATTTTGCCACTGAAATTTTTAGCTATTCTTTTTTGCATAAATTTTGTAAAAGATAAACGATAAAGAATTTTTACATGATTGGATAAAGTGATATATTGGATAGATAAAAAAAACAGGAAATACATTAACGGATATATTTTCTGCATTTGTTGTAATAATTGAAGAAAAAAAGTGGAATTTTTGGCTAGACTATTTTTTTTTTTCTTCAACATATTTCAATTAATTGATAGTAAACTTACATCGATGGTATTTCGTAGGCGATATTTATAAAGACAAAGTTCACATATTGCTGGACGTTTTAAATTATGAGCACATATTGTTAACCAATGCTAACATGAAAGTTATGATAATAAATTCATTATTGTCATTTTAATCTATTTTAAATTATGAAATTTAAGTTTAGGATAAAATTAATTATTATTTTAGACTGTCATTTAATATACGATGAACACTAACACTTAAAATATATAAATATTTTAGAAGAATCATTTAAATTTTTAGATTTTAAATTAATCGATAAAAACTTACTAGGAGGCATGATATATGAACGTATTTCAATGAACCGGTACAACGACATGGAGAAATAAGTGGATCACCATAACTACCAAAACTATGACATATTCGACAAAATTTCTCAACAATTGTTTCATTTGGTAAAAGTGTACTGTAATTGGTTACTGTAGAGGAATGAAGTGTACTCGAGCCAAATACTGTTCGCTAAAATTCATTTTTAAAAAAATGAGAAAATTAATTAATTCATTAATTTAAATATATTCCATATATAAATTAATAAAAGCTTCATTGATATAGCAAAGGTATACATTAATTAATTATGATTGCAATTTCAGTAAGAAAAAACTGTAAATCAATCAATAAGTTATTTTTTTAGTAATTAAAGATTCTTTGGGTTCATTGCGAAATTTTCTAATTTCTTGAATGATCCCTGCAACAAATCTATTTGGTAAACCTGTAATTTAGTATCATTAACAAACCTGTACTTTTGGACAAGTACCATTAATAAATGAATGTCCCGTGCATGTTTCACAAAGTACTCCAATATCCGAGAAATGACTATATCTATTGTATTGTATCTCGTTCTTGGATATTTTCCGATCCAATGTTCGAATATATAACGCATAATGACAATCGTCACTGAATCGCCGATTATCACGATAATATTTCCTTGTGAAATCTAAAAGTAGCTAAAATAATTGATGAAAATTGAAGAATGAATATTGTGAAATTCGATTTGTTGTTGTTAGAGCTCTCTGGTCGAAATGAATAAATTCGAATTTTGATGAAATTTTTATGTTCAACAATTTTTACACTATTAACTTCTACTCTTCAATTATTATCTAATAATTTTTCTCAGACTAAATAAATAATTCATATTGGAATTTAAAAATTTTCTTTACCAATATCTTTTCTTAAACTATTTAAAATGATGATTTGATAACTTTTTAACTTTAATACTTCTTAACTTTAATACCTTTATAACTTTAACACTTTTATAACTTTGATTCCTCTTTAATACCTTTATTACTTTAATACCTTTATAACTTTAATACCTTCATATCTTTAATACCTTTATAACTTTAACACTTTTTCCTTGTAACTTTAATCTTTAATAAATATTATATAAAATGATGATTTGATATAATTCGTGTCACTTCTTTATAACTTTTCAACTTTAATACTTTATAACTTTAGCTTCAATACCTTTATCTTGAATACCTTCATATCTTCAATACCTTTGATCACTTTTCCAATGAAAAACATTAATTAACCATTTTTTTAGTTTATAAATTATTTTGCTATTTCAATGAAAATTGATAACAGATTTTAACAATAGAAACAAATATTATATACTAATCGTTCGTTTAGCTTCTATCCGTAAAAATGGATGATAAGATAACTCTTACCTCTTCTGTTCTATATCCCATGTATTGTATCATTTTATTATTTAAACTTTAAAGCTTAAATTTCTCAAACTCTCTACTAAAGGATCATTTTTCATTTATCTGCTATAATTGAATTCACCTCTTCTAATTCTTAAAAATTTCAATTTTCATTTGGAGAGAAACAAAAAAAAAAATATTCGCTGAATTTAATTGAACTACAAAATATACGACAATTGCTAATTACTTATACTTTTATATTCCAATGCAATTAAAAATATCAAAAATTAAATTTAATAATTAATTAATTCCAATTCTATTACCACCCATCTGGAAAAAAAATTTTTTATCTTATAAATAGCCACCGCTCAAAAAATCTTTTCCAGTTATCCTATTACCACCCATCTGAAAAAAGTCTTTTAAGCTAAAAAATATAATATAGAATGACTATTTTAATAGAATGAATAGAATTTACATTATTTGTTATTTATTTATTATTTATTATCCACCTTATCATCAGGAATCTTTACAGATACGCATGCATGCATGCAATTCATGCGTGTATGCATGCCTATCATCGTTGTTATCATTATTTACTACTCCAATCAACGGTATTTTCTATCTCGTTGCATA